TGAACACAGGCTGTAGGGTCTTCGGGTGGGAGGTTGCAGCACGGTCTTTCCAGGCGCGGTGGCGAGTGCTCCCATCCTTTCCGATAGGGGAGGAGTTGGCGAAGTCGACAGCTGCTTTGAGCGAGAGGCGAGGGCCAACGGGGTTGCAAAGGATCTCTCAGGAGATGTCATTATCTGACGATAGAAATCTCTCTCCGTTATTGATCCACACAGCAGGCACTTTGGCTGGAGCAGGATGTTGCACAGCAGCGCTCCAGGCGGGAGCTCTCGTGATGGCCCCTCAACAGAAAGCTCAATGGCATTGAGGGACCTCCGGTCTCCTATTTGTCGGTCCTGCTCGCTATTTTTTCGAGCGTTGAACACCCGGACCTTTTGCCAGTCCTTGGCCCACTCTTCGGTAAAACTGAGTAGCCCGAGCTGATTCCAACGCGCGTAAAGTCCAAGCAGCTCGCGGGCAGAGTCCGTACACTTGGTCGGGCGAGGGCTTGTGGGCTCGTTCTCGATGAAGCGCAGCACCCGCGGCTCAAGGAAAGGCAGGATGAGGGTAAGGCACAAGCCAAAAGTGCCCTGTTCGCCTGCAAAGGCATCTAGGTTCTGTAGGCTTGCAGTTAATTCCTGGCTTCGCCGCCCAGGACACGTAGGGATCTGGGGGGCAAGATGGCCACACGCGCAGAGAAGCCGCCGGATGCGGTCAAAGACCACTTCCTGGGAAGAAGAAGGTGGCCTCCGAAGTTCGGCAGGAGGAATCCATTTCCACCCGCAGAAGACGTAGTTGAAGCACATCGTCACGATATGTACCCCCCTCTTGAGCGCAAGGCTCTTGAAACGTCTCTGTGCCATCTTCGGGCCACTCCCTTCGAAGACACCCGGATAGGGCACAGGGAGGGGAAAAAGCGCGGTAGAGGAGACGGACTCGCCGTTCCTTTGCAGGTGAAAAGTGCTCGCGAGGAAGCGAGAAAACTTAGTATTACAGGCTAGGATGCGCCAAGAAATCCAAGAAGGACATTTCACCGTCGAACGGTGAAGTATTCGGCCGGTCACGGCGCGTGGAAGGAACAAAGGCAGCCTCTAAATTGCTGCGCAGCGCCTGGTCAGAGCAAAAGACGGACCTTTGCTTGCACGGAACCTCTCCCGAATTGACAGGCAAAGGCTGATCGGACCCGGGAGCTCGCCTCTTGGGTCGCCAGGAACGACATTGGGGAGAGTCTTGGCCTTTGGAGCAGTGGAGACTGCCAAGTTCCCTGCGTGGATCTCAGACCCTGCATCTGGGGGCCCTGGCGGAATCTCGGGTTTTTCCTACAATTCCGCCCTGGTTGCAATCGCGGGTTTTTACCAGAAAACGTACTCTTGCGACCGCCGGAAATTTCCTGAGAACTCGGCAGGAAATTTGGCAGTGGAGACTCGGTGACGCAGGTGATCTGTTTCTTCGGCAAACCAACTTTGCGCAGCACACGGGTTTGGGACCTATCAACCTTAGGGCCTAAGAGGGATTCGGTGTGGCAGGAGATCTGTTTCTTTGGCAGACCATTCTCGCCCTGCACAGGGGTTCGGGAACTAGCAACCCTAAGGACAGGAGGGGACTCGGTGAACAGGGTGCTTTGTTTCTTTGGCAAACCATCCTTGCACGGTGCACGGGCTTGGGAGCAGCAACCTCTGGGAAGCAATAGCTCGGACAACCGAATGATTTTTCCCTCTTCGGGACCAGGACAGTGCAGCATACGCGTTCGGGAACTACTAACGCTAGGGGTGAGGAGGGCATCAGCAAGTGAGATGACTCGCCGCTCAGGGGCAGCAAGTGCACATGGGACTAGGGTTCGGGAACTATAAACCCTACAGGAAGGAAGGGGGCCTGAAGGCGAGGAGTCATAGGCAGCAGACGACCGAAGCACACGGGTTTGGGGACTATCAACCCTATCCCTAAGAACCTTAGGGGCGCACAAACCTGCGAAACTAGGCATCGGTTTTCTTTGTCCACGCCACTTTTGCCTTTGTTTTTGCCTTCTTCTTTTTCCATCCACCTTCTTCCCCCGGCTGCTCTCCTGCAGTCGTCACATCGGCCCTCCTCTGACCGATAAGGTCCTGCTCCCGGAGAAAGGCTAAAGAGGTTGTAACCCACCTCTGATCCGAAAGAGGTGCAAAGGCCCGACGTCGGCCCCCCACCGACATAAGGCTGCGGTTGCTCATGATGGATGCTGGCGGCTCCTCCTGGGGGCAGAGGAGATATCCGATGTCCATACTTCCTCCATCCAACGCGCTTTGTTCTTGGCAGACACACAGCAGAGCAAGCACACACCCTTCCATGTGCCCAGACAGGGCCAGGTCCAGGGCAACGCAGACCTGCCACTGCACAAGGGCAATGTTGCGAACCTGGCCATAGCCACCAAACCTCTCGACGTACTTGGTCATCGAGAGGCCCCGCTCCTTGAGAACCGCCGGCTCGGCTTCGCAGTTCTGAGTCGGGTCCATCCTGCGGGCAGCTGCCTGCATGACCTTTGTGAAGAAGGACCCCTTCGCCAATTCGGCCTGAAGCTTTGCTCTTCCTAAGGAACATGATTCACCAGCGTGGTCAGGGCAGCCGATTGGGACATCAGGGCTTGCAGCATGCTGCTTTCTTCGGCTGGGGCAAGGTGGTCCTGGGCCTCATGAACCATGGCAGGTGCGTCTTGGCCTGAACCCAGCCTTAAAGTCTCTGCGGCCCTTTTCGGCGGGGGTCCAATCACACTCACGACTTGCTTCGCTGGGGCCGCCTTTCCTTGTACGTCCTCCGTCGGTAGTCCCAGCTGCGCATGTAACGGAGCTCTCGCGGTGGAAGCAGGGGCGCTGCCTTCTGTCTCGAGACGAGTCTGCCTTTCCGTCAGCTCAGCTCGTCCAGCCTCGAGTTCAGGGCAGGGAGCACAGCCAGGGCCGCCTCGAGCTTTTCTGCTATGGCTGCGGCCGACATTTTCCGCTGAGCAGCCGTTTGCTTCGCCTTTGCCTTCGCCTTTGCTGCCTGCTTTGGCGTAAAACTCCACACGGCCCAAGCCGCGGAGCCAGGGGTCCACTTGAGGCAGTAGGGAATGAGCGAAGGATCCTCCTGACCCAAAGGCTCGACCCCTTCGGGTAAGGCGGTCCCTGCAATCCGCAAATTGGAGCATATTTCCTCGCTGCAGTCCACGACTGTAACGGCGAGGCGGGCACTGTGCTCTATCAATTGGCCCTCGGCTACAATAGCAGCCGCACAGTCGAAGATGTCTGAGGGCCCCAGCACCTCTGTGGGAGGAGCACTCTGAGCAGCAACGAGCAGGCTCTCGTCGAAAAAGTGAGAAGGCACCGCCAGTAACAGGCCACGGCTGGGCTCCTGCCTCTTGAGGAGGCAAACGGCACGGGTCTCCAGAATGGGAGGTCCACCTTCTTCCTCGGGCCAGCCAAGGATGAGAGTAGACGGGGCACCGATGGTACACTCTGAAAGATCCGAAAGGTTCATTGCTTCTGCGGCAAGGCAACACCGGCAGCGTCACAGTACACTCGGACTTCCAGCAAGGAGGGGCAGCCGCGCGAGATTGTGGAACGGGCAAAGGGTCGGCCCACGATGTCAAAGTATGCTTTGGAGCTTTCAACCAAAGCAGGCGAATCCAGCCCGGGAGCACGCAATACGATGTAGAATCGGGAGGAAAGCTTGAGCACAGGGGTGTGAACAGGAGTAGCGACCCGACCAGCAAGAGCAGCAGCAGCCCACTGACCAGCCGTCCAAGCACGCCTGACCCGATCGAGGCCGGACCTCTGAGCACTGTGCAATTGGTGGGCAAGGCTAGCCCAGCGCTCGGGCAAGGGAAGGAGAGTCGCGAGGACGTCGCTCCTCGTCTCAGTCGGCGCCGAAAGCCGAAGAGGCGCAGTGGTAGGCTCCTCAGTGGCGGGACGCTCTGGCAATGGGTCCACCAAAAGATATCCTGAGGAAGACTCGGAAGGCGCTGACTCAGAGAGAGCCCCAGCGTAGCGAGCAATATGCTTTTGCAGATTCACACAATCCCTCGGAGGACCCCTTAGGGTTACAGAGATATTCCCAATCCGAAGCTTAGCTCGGACTCACCCTCAATCATGCAGGTACCCGGCCAGGCGGGAACTTGCGTCAGTGTGCCGGGCACGGGGCACCGTTGGGCTCACAGGAGCTCTGATGTGCGGTTCAGGAAAGGGGCGAATCAAAATCCAAGCAGTGAAGGAGGCCCCAATCAAAAGTCCAATGGACAGGCCGGCAGCAAAGGCAGGCAGCAGACCACCCCCGCAATGAACCGGACAAGAGAGACCCTGAAGTCTACTCAAGACACTGCACCCCAGATCAAGGGCTCCCTGCATCGAACAGCTGAAATCTTGCGATTCAGATCAGCATCGCGACTATAAAATCACACCCCTTCATTTGACGATTCCGGTTCCTCATATTTAAACACGCCCCCTCATTTGGCGATTCCGGTTCATCATGTATCTACAGCACGTCCCAAACACAATGATGGCATGATGCGTTTCAAAAAGGGAACCTCATATACTTACTTTGAAGCAAGGTTGCACGGATTGAAACAGCGGGTGGTGGTTGGGGGTGGCGGGCAGCCCCCCCCCCCCTTGCAAACAGAATGCTCGCGTGTCAGGATCCAAAAACACTAACATGCTTTGCAGCTAGCTGGCACTGCTTAAAATCTCGCTGGGGTGCCGGGGGGTGCAGTCCCCCATCATTTGCAAACACGATGCTGGCATGATGGGTTTCGAAGAGACTGCTTTGAAGCAAGCGTGTTCGGCTCAAAAAAGCGCGGGGGTTGGCGGGGGCAGCTGCACCCCAACTGTGCTACATTCATTCCTCGCTTCCTTCCTTCCTTCCTTCGCCTTGTTTCCTTGCTTTTTGCCAGTTTGGTGTTTTTTGATCATTATTTAATTGCTGTTTGATCCTTATTTATTTTCTGTGATCCCTGTCCTTGTCTCAGACAGGTTTTTGCTCCACGACGTCAAAGCGTCAAAGCCCATTAGAGCAAAGAGGCAGGGAGATGTCAAGGACCGGCCCAACTCCGGAGCTCCTCACAGCTTGGCGCTCAGATGCGCTCAGACCCCCGGTGTCTCAGCTGACCTGGTCGAGGTGGCGGGGGTGCCAGGTCCGTCGCAGACAGCTTTGAGGCCTTCCTGGTATACGGAGCTCATGCAAGTCGCCTGCTCTGCTCAGCCCCCAGTCCCTTTGAGCCCGCTGCTTGAAGACCCAGTCCCAATCTCCTGTTCAAGGATAACCAGCCCAGGACGTCGAAGTGCAGCGCTCAGCCTCTTACCTTCTCTTTGGCCAACTTTTAATCAACTGGCATGCCATGTTGGCATGCCACGCGCGCTCTTTGGCAGCGCAGAAAAAGCTCGGTGCTTTGCGAGCGTTGCATGCGTCATCGGCCGGAAGCGCTCATGTACGCCTGAGCACCACACATGCACAACTTCATCATCTGGCTGTGTGCTCCTGGCCTTCTGGTACTCCTCGGCCTCGCGCGCGCACGGGATTGGATAGCCCGAAATGGAGCAGTAAGCTAACTAACTGCGGGTTCCTTTGCGTCCCTCGCGGCATTGAAATCCTCCAGCTGCTGAAAGGCCTGAGTACGATGAGAAGTGGTACGGCACATACATGCGTGCGCACATAAAAGCTTTGAAAACCTCAAACCTAATCTGACGAGTGTTCGTTGAACTCACATCACCTTTATTGTGGGCGCTATCCACCGCGATCAAGGGACACACGATCATCACGAAAACAATTCACGCCCGAACCTCAATCCCTCTTTCCATGGAAAGGCCTGGGCCGTCCTTGTCGCAATGACTGTAGACGGACCCTTCCGCACCCCTGCTCCTCGCCCCACCCTTGGGCCCCCAAACCCGTGAAGCCGGAAACCCGCACGGGAGTGTCAAACTACTGTTTCCACCCCTCCCGGGCCTTTTGCTTCGCGAGGATTTCGTGGATGCCCGGCGGGTACCGGCCCTGACAGTGCCAGCTGCCTGCAGATGGAAAATCTCGGCATCGATTTGTTGCACCATGATTTTTTCAGAGCCCGGGATGCACCTTGCTGTAAATAGTGGCTTCGAGTGACTTGGGCGAGCAAGAATGCGGCATGTTCCTGTTGCTTGTAGCACACAGACCGTCCCCTTTCCGGGTTGTGAAACTTCTTGTCATGTAGAGCCTCTGCAAAATTTCATCGTTTCGGGTTTCGGTTGGCCCAGCATTCGGCTTCCTCCGCATGGTTGCAAACCTGAAGGTCTGCTCCTTCAAGAGGTCTCGGGGTTTTGGACAACGACCCGAGGAAGGCTTGTCGCAAGTCTCATGGAATGATCAGCGGATTCTTTCTTTCCACTCAAGTCTGCTGCTAAACGTCTTGCGGAGCTTTCGAGTAGAGGACCTCGCCACAGAGTCACGCACAGAGAGCCGTCACGTCAAGAGTCTGTGCACCCTTTCCGGCTAGACGCCGGAACCCTCTACCCTAAACCCCGGACCTGGCCCAAGGATCACAGGAGTACGTTCAGAAGAGCACTGGGATATTGAAACATCGACACACGCACACTGCATACAGACGACGACATGAACAAATAAATCACATGCTTGACGTGAAGTCACTCCTATTTAACTGGCCGTAGGGCAGGAGATGTCAGCAGGTGTCACCAGTAGCAATGCTCGCAGGGTTGGTAAAGGCATGTTAGCATTTCGATATTTCCGGCATGCGAAGACATGCAACCCTTCGGAAACGTCTGCCATGCCACCAGCACACACACACACACATACGCAAACTTCAACCGCCTACAAACCAGGAACCGATTGTTGCTTTGCGTTTTAGGAACGGTCCATGGGTTTTCAAGCGACGACATTGCACATTAGCCCAGAAGAAGCAGAAGAAGAGCTTCTAGTTCCTGCAGTTCTTCTTCGTGTTCCCACAGTAGAAAGCACATCTGATCCTAAGATTCTGCAATGTGCGCACAGCACATGAAAAGCCTGACAAGCCGTGCCGTCTACGATTGCGAGGACATGTCGGATAAGGCAGCATACTGATCTGCTGGATACGAGAAAGGGAGAAGAGGCTGTGAACCGAAGATGAAAGTGTGCAGGCACTGCCCGGCCTGGCGCATCGCATTTCCAGTTCTGAGGGTCCTCGACCCAGTGCCTGGACCCCTCCGACACGTTGAGCACCTCGGCAGAAATTTGAGGACCGGAGCCTTGGGGTCGCGGTTGGAGCTCCGTGGGCCTTGAAGATCCGCACGAGGCCGCGCTGGCTGGTGTAAGCTTCTTCGAAAAGTTGGGGGTTCACCTCAAGCCGAGCGAAGAGCCGTCGGCCAAGGCGGCCAAAGGAGACACTTGCCTGGACATCCTCCCGACCATGCGAATGCCTCCAGAGACCAGGGTCTGCACATGTCACGTGGATTAAACAGTGCGGGCGAGTGGCAGCTTCCAGAGCAGGGAGCTCTTCATCGTCTCCTGCAGGCTGGAAAACCGACTGCGCTGGCGGACCCGCTCGCTGCAGAGCCGAGCCACGCTCGGCAGCTTCGTCTCGCGGTCCAGGTGGAAGGCCCTGCACATGGGCTCAGCGCAAAGGTCGCCGAAGACCTGCACGCGGCCAGAGCAGAGTCCAGCGAAGACCTGCGACTGCCAGGCTTTCTCCAAGAGGCAGAGTTTGCGATTCGCGCCATGTGCGGCGACTTCGCCAAGTCATCACCGTCTCGCAGCTTAGACAGGAGGCAGGGCCGGAGGCAGCACGGACCAAAGACCTAAGCTGGCCAGGGCTGCCCCAAATGAGGACAAAGTCCGCCAAATGCCGGATGACCTTCTTGCAGGGCAGGGGCAGGGCCACTCCATAGCCTCTGACACTGAGCGCACCTCGTAAGAGTCTTCTTCGGGTCCTGCGGCAGGGATCCATGCACGAGCACCCTTACACAAGGAGTTTCGCTCCTGTCAGACACCAGCCCAGCAAGGCAATGTGCTCATGGTTCCACGTGTTCCCATCTGCAAGGGTGGTTCCTAAAGGAAACGCAGGACCACTCGTGCATCACTCCCGTTCTGCTGAGCTCCGAGCGATTGGCCAGTCCATTGATTTGGTAGCCGTAGTCCCACCAGGCCATGACCCGGGCATCCTGCCTCGTGCAGGCAGTGCTCCAGGTCCAGGTGGGTGCGACGACAAACTGCTGTTGAGCCGCGGAGTGTGGTCACGCAGCCACCAGTAGGCCTCAACCACACAAAGCAGGAAAGACAGCAGAAGGTCGAGACAGTGGTGGTCGCCTCTCGGTAGTCATCCACTATAGTCTCCTTGCTGGGACCAGGACACTGGATGACACTGGGACCCTATGTCCCAGCTGCAGCCAAAAGGTCCTGGTCGCCAATCCGCTGCTTCTTGATGATGGAGGGATGGGACCTCAGCCACAGACGCTGCAGCGGACTCGGCAGCATCGTCGCACGAGCAGCTGGCAGACGCTCGGCAACTGTCCAGCAGTAGCCGATAAACTCCACACCGCAAACCAGGACCATCAGCAAGACCAGACCAGCTGTGGCCTCCAGCAGATTCCCACATCGGGGAATGAGATTCTCATATAGGATGTGGCCTTGCGTTGCAAGATCGACTCCTCGTATGCCTGATTCAGAGGACAGCATGAAATAGCAACAAGCCAGTGTGCGAACCTAGCCTCGCGAAGGGGGTGCATCACCTCCTCCAGGATTTCCCTCGGCCCACCTTTGTCGGCTGGCCGCTTCCGCGCGGCAGCTTCGCCATTGCCCCCATCGCCCTCGCCCTCGCCCTGCTCACTTGGCACCTCGAGGGGAGAGGAGAGGAGAGGATGGGAGAGGAGGGGAGGGGAGAGGAGAGACGAGAGGAGTGGAGAGGATGCCGGCATGCGCCGACGCCTTCACACCAAACTGCCGCAGGGCCCATCGCACTGCCCAAGCGACGCCCACACCGCCTCCGAAGGCCACCAGAATATTCCGCTACACGGTGATATCATGCCTAGTGCTGCTTAGTGGCCTAGTGCCCCGGCCATGGGCCCAAGCAGCATCACCAGCCTTGTGGCAGCAGGCGACAGCGGTTTTGGATGCGTTTTGGCCCCGGGCCGATTCATCTTGGAGGAGAAGTAGTAGGTCACGGCCTCGGCTGAAAAGTCTTCTCCAAACGCCTTTCCCACGGAAACATTCTCAGCCAGGAATCACCATAAAGAACCAGAAAGACCTGCGACATGTTTCAACAAGCTGCTCGACAACCGAAAGTTGCAAGACCTTCACTTCGGTGAGGCTGGCGGCTGACACCTTGATAGGTCTGACTTCATCATACCCGCCCTCGATTGTTTTCAGGCCCCGGCAAGGGGGATTGAAGGGGGCTCCCAGTTCTACTATGCTCGCTGACTCTCTCTGCGACTCTGGGAGGGCTGACAGAAGGGCCGCATGCGTTCCACTCACTGGCGCAGCAGCAAGCACGGGAAGTGTTGAAAACCTGCAGCTAGCGCGCGCGTGGTTTTTGACGACCACGTAGACTCGATTGCTCAGAGGATTTGCGACCTCCCGTTCTGGCCCCCCCTGCGCTCACCGTCCACACCCCGCGAAAAAGCACCGATCTCAAAGGCGATGCCTCGCGCCCGCTCCTCCTCTGAAAGGCGAGGCGAAAGTAGGAGGTTTGCAGACGAAGCTGGTCCAACGACCGGCAAGGTCCCTCAGGCTCGCAAACTCCTGTTTTTGGTGTGTAACGGCAAGAATCAAGTCCCACACAGCCAGCGTAAGCTCACGGAGTTCAGTTTGCATCTTTTGCATCTGGCTTACGACATCTGGCTCACGACATGGTGCAGTACAGCCGGTCTGTGCTGCGAGAAAGGCGCGCACGAGCTCGCACACGAACGAGATCCAGCCTATTTTTTCGGGGGCTTGTCAGAAACCCCAAAAGAATCCCGATCCGCAGCATGGCAGCACGGCCGACCAAGTGCACGCGGCAAGGAGCTCCAAAGTCCCAAACACAGGCAGCCCGAAGTAGCCAATGCCTCTAATCGCAGCTGCGCTGACCACCCGCCAATCACCAGTGAGGCCCACAGCGCGGAGGACCCAGGTCACGCGAAGGCGCCGAGGAGCAAGCAGCAGGTTGCCGAAGCAGCAGACATCGGTCTACTGGTACCAGTAGCTGCCAATGGCATCGCAAGAATTGGAGTGACGGACAAAGGTGGGGCCGGGGCCGTGGAGAGGTGTTCGGGATTCTTCCGCACGTCTGCTTCGCTGAGAGCTTTTCTCATTCCCTTCGATGCACCTCGGCATTCAACGAGTCGGACTCGTTTTGACCCCCAGGGCCAGGTAACGCGCGGCCTTCGGCAACATGTCTGCTTCTTGCGAGCTGTCAGATGATGCCGGTGATGCTCGGTGCTGGCTGGAGCGCGCACTGGTGATCTTGCCTGCTCCAGGCAGATGTTATCTGCAGCGCTTCTTAACCTAAGACGGAGCGCCCAAGAGCTCAACACAGCTGGTGCGAATGATGTTCGCTTTCCGGTCTCAGCAGTGCTTATGGTGATTGCCGTTTGTTTCGGCAACTCAATCGCGGTGAGTGCCGACGCGGGAAGAGTGGGCTCCTGCACCCGATTGACTTGCAGAGATGCCTGCCGCTTCCGGACGGATGCACGACACGTTACGACTTCAACACAAGTCTTGGAGTTTCCGTCACTATTGCGGGCATCTGGTGGTGCAAAATAACATCACACCGCTACTAGACATGTCGACTGTTGCGAGCAGATCCCGGACGCTAGCTGCTTCCACTTCAGGAAGATGTTCACATCTCAGTCTCCGAGAAGCAGGCCACGATGCCCAAAGGTGACATGCTGCACATGTGATGCAGATACCTGCAGGGTTCCAAAGAGGCATCTCAGATGGCCTTGTCTCTTCTTCCGAGGGGCAGGCTGCCAATAGGCTCGTGGGCTCGTGGCCTTGAGCGGTGGGAGCGGCAGCTCTTCAGCAAAGGGATCGCCCCGCCTGGTGCTCGGCAACAGAGTCCACCAAGGGATTCCCGGTCCCTCACCGAGACAGAGAAAGAACTCACAGCACAGAAGATCGATCGCATCAGTGCCGCTGAACCTGCTATCTGAGTCCGATGCGATGCTTCACGAAGAGGCCCCGCACCCGGCTGGAGAGGGGCGTCACGTAGCCCAGCTTCAGGAGGACTGCGAAGGAGAGAAAGGCACCACTCGAAGACGAAGGCGCGGTCCTTTCCCCTTGAGTCCGAGTCCTGAGGCCAGCAAAGCCAAGGCCGCACCGGCGCCAAGGAGGACCTGGCCAGCGCACCGCACTCAGCACACGAAGACGAAAAAGAAGAGCGGCCCAGCGCTTCTGCAGCCAGGCCCAGGCCTGGAAGCGCAGGCGGCGGAAGTCCTCCTCCCGCAGCTTGGATCTTCTTCGCCAGATGCTGAGGCCTTCTAGAACCTCGCAGCACAGTGGCAGTTCCTGAGACTGTCTTGTTTCCGCATCCGCCTGCAGGAGGAGGAAGACCAGGAGAGGCCCGGCCTGTTCTAGGCTCCTGCAGCGGCACTTAAACTCGCTTGGAGCTGCCCCATGGCCCGAGGGCCTCAACGGCGTCCAGCCGACAACTGGGATCTGCACCTCTGCTAGGATGCTGTTTCGCGCGAGCGCATACAACAAGCAAGCCCAGTGCTGCCAGGCTGGTGCCCACCAGGAACAGGGCGGTGTAGGCCCCTCGCAAGCGATCACCGGCCGTCGGCACTGCTTGGCCCTTTGGTCCCTGGTGCCCTAGTGCTGCAGAGGTGCGGTGAAGCTTCGTGGAGAAGCGCCACAGGGACCTGAAGAGAAGCCGCGACGGCTCCGTGTGACCACTAGGGGCACACAGCCGCCCTGAGCGCCAAACAGGCAGCCCTCAGATTGGCGCACACAGTGTCACAGCACACGTCGCGTCTCGTCGCGTCTCTGATTCGCAGCTGCGTCTCCGCATGCAGACCGACGATGTTGATTACGAAGACATAGCCTAGGTGCGGCCGAGGAAGGAAAAGCCAATGTCTGCAGCTCGGTGTCAACCTCCCCAGGAAGCCACCATGCCGAAGTAGGCCAAACCTGACGATGCTACCAGATGCTACAGAAAAAAGAATTTTAAGCCTGGAGACGGGCCTGCGATGGCTCCCCAGACAGCACTCGTCCCCCGCAGCGCCCGGCACCTCGGAGACTGAAATGGCTGCACGATCTGCGGATGGCCCCCTCGCTACCCTAAAGAGGCGTGGCACCAGAAGTAGAACGTGGCGTTCATGAAGGTGATGGCAACGCACTCCTAAGCACGGCCGAAGCACTGCGAAGACTGGAGAGCGCGGGACCGGCTGCCGAGCGTTATCGAAGCCGCCGGCGACCTGAGCCGCAGGGAGAAAAAGAGAGATGCGATGCGCCGATGCGCCGATGCGCCGATGCGCCGCTCTCTCGTGCTCGTGTGCCCTTCTCGCCGAGCCGCGGAGCGCACGAGGTTGGCCTCAGCCCACAGCGGCGCAGCGGTGCCGGAGTCCGGAGGTCGTGCTCTGCTGAGGCGCGCGCGGGGATGATCGCGACGATGAACGCGGCGCAGATCGCTGCGTCTATGGACCTGGTGCCTTGAAAAGCTGTTGCAGAAGGTCTACGACAGGCTGCCACAGAGCTCGGCTACGCCACATTCGAAGGTCAGCAGCCCCAGAAACGCAGTGGAGGCCACGCCAAACCAGGCAGGAATGAAGACGCACACCTGTAGAACTCCAGAGGCCCCATGCAGGCTCCAAGTGCAGCAGCTCAGTCCGTGGCATCGTGCAGCGTCATCTCCTGATCGAAGGCGTCACAAAGCACCAAAAAGCCGAGCCCGCCGAGCCCCGCGAGCCCCGGCCTGGCCCAGGAAGTGAAGGCTCCGCCAGATCCACACGGCGACCTCCGGCTCATGAGACGCGGAGGTGCCAGGCGCCACTCTGCTTCGGCGGAGATGCAAACTGCATTCCAGGGTAGATGGTGGTGCCCACGGGCCGGCCCAAAGGGTACCAGACTTCACGATCGTACCAGCGAAAGAAGGAGGCCTCTGGCGGAAGGCACTGGACCAGATGAGCCAATGAATCTTCTTCTCTGACAAGTCGCTGCGCCATTGGCTGCGAGGTATTCTGTGGCCCTGTAGTGGAACCACGGATCCTGACCACACTTTCTCGAATCTTTGTCGCTTGCATCAACTCGCCAACAGAGGAGCGGGCAAACTCGTGGATCACACGGCCGAAGTTCCTGAAGTGTCAACAGACTTCCCTCGCCCCCATCGTGCTGTCGGACCTAAGCCATAGTCCCTAGTCACTTGTGATTCCTGCAACCGTGCGTCTGCACTGCGAACAAGCGGATAAAATAAGCGGATGCCAGCGCTAGCAGGAGCACGTTGATCCGCAATATGGCAAGCACTGCAGAAATAATGTCTTGCGACATGCCCGGCCATCAAGCTCTAGACAGTCCGGGATGACACCTCTGAATATGCACACTTGTCTTGCATAACCTCCGGTCCCTCACCTGTCTGAGGAGGAGGGTGGCTGTCTTGTCATCTTATGCAAAGTGAACTGTATGCTGGATTTGGGTGCACACTGGGATACCTAAGCCCGGTTGAAGCTTCTTCTCACGGTGGTGATGCGATTTGAGCAGCTGCGTGCAAAATGCCAGCCGCTGACCACATGAACTGTTGAAGCCAGGTTGTCGAGCACGTTAAGACAGGTTCGACAGCCCACCTCGCGCCGCAGTCCTGGCAAAGCTTGGGTGAACTGCTCCTGAGGTGCTGACAGCCAAAGCAGCCCCTCGCCTCCTTTGCATTGCTCCAACGCGTCCCGCGTCCTCTTGGGCCCTCCCTTGGGGAGGCCTTGAGGAGAGCGGCTGCACGAGTTTAATTCCTCAAGGCATGGTACTTTCTGCAGAAGAAGCTACCAGTGAAGCGGCTCGGGAAAAAGTTTCTGGACTGTGCAAGCAGCACAAGACCCAAGTCAAAGCATCCGACGCGGTCAACCCCCGATTTTGGAACTCAGGCAGATCTTGACTCTCTCCGCCTAAGGCGGAGAGAGTGGCAAGGCAGCAGCCTGAATCTGACTATACAAAACCTCGACATGCCGGCGCTCACTGGAGGTTTAGGTGCTGTTGAGCACCGTACACCCTCCATGAATCAAATGACCTCGAGATACATGCCATGATCACTCATTGACACACAAGCTAGAAGCTGTGTTCGCGACTAATCTTGGCACGGTTTGCTGTCGCCTTTGGGGGCTTGTGCGAGGCTTGGTACACAATGAGATTCAGCGGAGCCTTCTCCAGCCACGGGGGATTAGCTCTCGCCTGCTCCTCACAAGGGAACGCCAGGACTAGCATCTCCCTTTCTGCCCTAAGCCTAATTTCGAGAACCCGTCTTTCCTTATGCTTGAACATCGATGGCGGTGGGCAGGAGCCGGGAAGAATGATCTCGGAGCACAATTAAAAAAAAAAACATGTCAAGAAACCAGTTGGGCCCGGCCCCGCTTCAGAGAAGCACAGCTCGGCTGATCCGGGGTTCCGGGGTTCCGGCCCGGGTGGGTTCGGCCCAAGGTCGGCCTTTGGTGCCGATCACTTGGTGCACCTCGCTGGTGTCGAGGAAGCCACCCTGATGGTAGGTCCTGCCGGGGCGATGCATGCGCCGCCGCGCATGCACCCGACAAGTTGCCGCCAGCGCACTTCACGGTGTAGAGCATCTTGCCATCTGGTCTGAAGTGGACGTCTGGGCCTTTGCGCCGACTCACTGAGCCAGAATCCTCTCGAAGGTTATCAGGGCCGGACATCGCCGGACCGGAACGGATTTGCAGTGGAAGGGGCCTTCGAAGGTCCTGCGCAGTTCTCAACGAGCTAGCAGAACAGCTTACTTATTGCCAGACCCAGAGTACCTGGGCCCGACGAACCAATCGGGAGTATCGCCGGACACAGCGGAAACCTGCACCTTCCGTCGTGCGACCCTGTAGAGCTAAACGGACTTTAACGCGCAGCAGCGCGCAGCGAAGCACCATCACAGCGCTGCCTCTCCAGGATTTACACGTCCGTCGAAGCCATAGCCTGGCTGTGCCACTGGTGCTTTGCCCGCGCTGTGAGCTTTGCGGACAGCGGCTCTGGGGCGCCGGGCCGATGTGATTCTTGGCCTTGTTCAAAATCCACTCAGGAGACCTTGTGGCAACAGCAACCTGTCTAGTGTCTAGTGCTCCCCGACCAAGCTCCGTACACACCCAGTTGGTCCTTGCACTCCGCATGTTCTTTGAAGGCTGGCAGGCCGAGTGCCACAGAGCTGCAGTGCGGTCGCAGAGTCAGCACTTTTTCCCACTTCGTGGTGCAGAAGAGCGAGAAGAGCCATTCAATTCGCCAAGGTGCTGCAGCTTTGCAGTTTCTCCTCCTCGTGCTCTGCAACATCTGGAAGGTCTGGCGACTGCTTGGCACGTAGCTTCTTGTCAGCACTGCTATCATCGTCGTTCCCCATGTGCCAATCACCTCCTTTGTCCAAGGCCTGCAAGCATGTCTGAACAAGTAAGGACCAAGCGGATTGCGCTTGAGTTGGTGTTTCCCTGCATTAAATTGCGGGGCGGTTTTTCCAGGTTCTCACGACCATGTTTGGGGTGCAGGGTTTCTTGTTTTACGTCATTGGTGGTGTTCAATATCTGTGATTTGCGGTTGCTGCTGTTCTTTGCAATTGCAGCGCATTCAAGACCTGGGTCTCTGCACGCGTTCCAACAACTGTTTACGCCACTGAGCTTCTTGGGTTTCAGTGGCTCAGCTTGTTGGTGTCGCTCGCCTGCTCGGTCGACCCAGCTCCTGTTCGCTTCAAGCATTTGTGGCATCCCAGGACCCAGGACGTCGAAAAAGCATAGAGGACCTTCCGCACGCGACCATTCCCAGCGATCTCGGATTCAAAGGCTTTGCGATCGAATGGCATACGCGAGTCCCAGCACCAGGCCAGCAAGGAGGAGACCGCAGACACCGGACCCGTCCTTTAGAGCCGGCTGGGGCCGCTCATCAGCTCCTGAAGCCACGCGCCACACATCGCCACACGCCAGTCTTTCTTCGAAGCCCCAGAAAAACAAGGTACGACTAGCGCCCGTCCTGGTGGCAAAACAGCGGCCGGGGTCGCAGCCGGTGCCCGCAAGGGGCCAGGAACTCCCAGTGGCACCGCGGGGACCGCCGCGGGGACCGCCGCGGGGACCGCCGGGAAGGGCTCCGACTCGGCGCGGGCCCGCGCCCGCGCCCGCGCCCGCTCCTCGAAGGCTTCTGGGTCGGAGCGCAGCAAGGCCAGAGCCTCAACCGCTGAGTTCAGCTTCGGCATTTCCAGCAGCGATACAAAAAGGACTGCAAGAAGGCGTTGCCTCGTCATTCAAGCCGTGCTCTACCCGAGGCTCGCTCAGCAGGGATGCCACGCTGACAAGCAGCTTCTCTAAGCCTCGACAATGCATCTAAGCCATGTCCTCTGCAAAGACCGTGTCCTAATCTAATCACCTGAAATCATGATTTCGTCCTCCTTCTTGCCGCTGGCTGGCCAATTGCCGGCGACCAAAGCGTCGGATCGTTCAAGATATCGAGGCAGATGCCTCCTTCACCGTTCACATTCGGATGGAACAGTCGCCTTAGCTTCCACGATGTGCGAGTGCACGAAAGGACATGGGGCTATGCACTATACAACATGCTACCATCCTGCTGAATTTCGTCGAAAATAAGACCCATTGCTCTGCAAACTCAACGACTCATTCGGTCCGTGCGCCTTCTTCGGGTGTACGGTTTTGTGGGCTGTGGCTGTATGTCCGTATGTTTTTTCATTGAACGAGTTCGATTATATATATATATATATATATGCATACATACATACATACATACATACGTACATACATACATACATGCATACATATAGGCCGGTCCTTCCTGTGTACTTTTTTTGCGTTCGTGTTTTGTCGACATCGTCATAACACGCGTTCCGTCATTATCGTCAATGCCTTTGTTTTGTTCACTTGGCTCTGCTATTTAGTTGTCATTGTTTTGGATATGGGTACAGTCATTGTCAAAGATGTGGTTTGAGTTGGCGCAAGAAGCTCGAGAAGCTTTGCTAAGTTGAGTCACGTAAAGCTGTAAAGCCACTCTTTGTGTCACTATCGTCATTGTCATTGTCACTGTTGTGGTAAATGACTTGACAATGACCCGAAACTCTAAACTGCCACAATTTGTGTACTTGATTATGCTATTGTCGCTTTGGATATGGGTACAGCCATCGTCAAATTTGATGTTGCTACTTAGACAGTTGTCATTGTCGTTTTGGATATGGGTACAGCCATCGTCAAATTTGATGTGGTTTGAGTTGACGCAAGAAGTTCCAGAAGCTTTGTTCAGTTGAGTGATTGAAGGTGCCTCTATATGCCTCTATGTTACGTCGTAGCAGTGCTACACATGCAGCTGCTACCATCTATGTCGCGTTACTATTGCCACCATCCTAGTTCTGCTAGTATTGCAAGCATTGACCAGTATGACCAACACCAGAACTATACGACTGTTACGTATATGTTTCAGAAGCACTAGCGCCTGTAATCTGATGTTGCTCATGATTCAAAAGTCAAGTTAACGTAATCCTGCTACAGTAGCGGCTAGCACCAATACCGCTGAAAATTTTGCGGCTTCGCGAATCCTGTTATCTTTGTCGATATTTCATCTGGCTGGTGGTCTCCACAGACTCAACGCTTCTTCCGGCAGAGGCATCCGAAGTGCCAAGTGAAAGGTTTGAGTCAAAAGTGCAGTTTTCGGACTTCCCGCCTTTGGGCACTGCGAGCGCGCGGCAAGGGTTGATGAGAAACTAATGGCCGATAATGGCCGTAACACGAAAGTGTACCTATGCCTGAGCTCCTGCTGACTGTGCAACCAGGTCGCCTAGGCGATGCAAAGCGGATCGCAGGAGGACGGAAGGGATATTCGTCCCCAAAGTGCAACCTCAGAGTTGTTGCAGCTTGGTCTCACGAACCCACAGCCTGCAGCCTGGCTGCAGCCTGCCTGCATGGCTGCAGCCTGGCAACTGGAGCCCGAAGCTGTGGCCCTCAAAAGGGCTTCCACTTGGGCCACGGATCTCGGCCCGCAAGCTTCGGTAGTCCGCCGCCTCCTCAAGGCTGGTGTCGATTGCATGGGGGCGGAGGGGCGGACAGAATCTGCGCACAGCCGCCTGGCCTGGAGAGCCAGGATTGGCAGTCGCAGCCCCGACTCTCGAAGCTTCGAGCCTTGAGCTTTGAACGCTCTCAGTCTTCTCAGTCTCACAGAAATCCAAAGCCCAAAAGAGCCCAGAACTGTCCGAGCCCAGGCACACTCCCTGCGAACGCGCTCGGCGACTGTCGACATTGGCTGAGAGATCAACTGATCAACTGAAAGCTGAGCCCGATCCGGAGGCGAAGTCCGAGTTAAACGTACTAGGCACATTCTGAAGAACACAGCTGCTCCGGTCCTGCGGCCCCGATCTGCAGGAGGGCAGCGACCTGCAAATGGGCCCACGAGACTTCTTTGCTGTGCAACGCGAGTGCAACGGCGCAGGCTTGACCTTGACGAACGCATCGCTGGCTTTGCCAGAGATGCGTTCGGCTGCCGGGTCCACGAGGCTACCCCGGAGCGGCCGCCAAAGGCTTGAAAAGGAAGCGCGGCAGGGCAGAAGTCTGCGGTTGAATACCATTGCCCGCTGCAGTTGCAAAGTGAGTCGGACACTCGACCCTTGCATTGGCCCCACCAAACAACAATTTATCTGCGGCTGCTGCCGGTCACTGCCCGGTTTTCAGCTGTGACGGCACGGCGGGGGCCGCGGGAGCCGCGGGGGCCGCGGGGGCCGCGGGGGCCGCGGAGTTCGGCGGTTCGGCAGCATATGGCTTAGCTCCGCAGCCTCGGCCACGGGACTATTGGACTCTTCCCGTGCGCAGGCGGATTCAGTGACTTTTCTGTGCCAAGAGTCGCGAACCATGCGGTGCCGGCGAAGAAAGTCCCAGCCTCAGCTCTGGACGGAGAGTTCAAAGTCTCGGGCGGAGCGCTTCTTGTCGCCACGCTACGCAGCAGAGCAGCGCCGCCTCTTCGGGTAGATGTCTTAAAGGCAAACAGGTCTACAGCGACGGCCTCGGGTCCGAAGCTGTCGTCCAAGGTCCCCAACAAGAAGGGGGCGATGAGATAGCTCAGGTCGCCTGGGACCCCGTCGGACCCCGTCGGACCGTGCCGGAGCTTTGGGGCCAGGCCTACGGTCTTCGGAACACTCAAGGCCGCACCACGCTGGTCCTCCGCTTCTCTAGACTCTTTCTAGTAGAGGCTTCCGACAACTTCCGACTGCCCCTTCCAGTCCTCCGGGGAAGAGGCGATGGCGTAGGCCTGAAGCGCTGGAGACTTCACGGCGGCCGCCACCGCCCAGAGGGCCAGGAAGCCCAGGAAGGCATCCTGCCGCAGTGCGCTGCTGCCAGCTTCCTCTTTTTGTTGCACCTGCCTTGGCATGAGCCCCCGTGGCCAGGGCCGCCCCCACGTAGGCGAGCGTGCAGATGGAACCTTTCCGCACCATGCAATCTCAATCTCAAGTCATGCTCCCGAACCTTCTGAAATCTAAAGACAACCGTGCAATAGTGCGAGCAAGGAGAATGAAAGCAGCAATTGTTAAAGTATGGATGACAGGTCAGTGTTGGTGGCGAATGCAAAAGCATAGCTGGTATGGCTGCGACATTGCAGTGTTCTCAACTACAGCCATCTCTGCGCTAACGGCGACCACGACCACTTGCTACCAGTGTTGTTGTCGAAAACTTCTGGAAGCTGCTGCTTCTACTGATGCTGAAACTGCCACTGCCCCTGCCATTAAGACTGCACCTGCTCCTGCTCCTGCTCCTGCTCCTCCTGCTGCTCCTGCTTGCTGCTGCTCCTGCTGCTCCTGCTGCGGCTCCTGCTGCTGCTGACAACGCTGGACAACTGCCACCTGCCCAAGCACCGGCACAGTCACCAGCCCCAAAAGCTCCAGTTCGAGGCCCAGGCCGCAAGTGAGGAGCACCGACTTCGGGCCGACAGCATCGGTGAGCCGTCCGCCCGCAAGAGTGCCTTCGTTAAGGCTATATAGGGAGGACAAGGGCTGAGATATGATACTTTTCAAAGTGGGCTTTTTGGCAAGTGGCCGCCGATGGCCAAGGCCGCCAGGCCCGAGAAGATCTGTCCGACCTCTCCCGGGCCCGCGCCGAAAGCTTCCGACGCGACACTGGGCAAAAGGGAGATCTTGCAGGCCTCAGCAGCTCCAACTTTCTACTCCCTTTAACCTAACACACACACTTTTCAGAAAGCCAACTTGAAGGTCTTCAAGGTCAAAGGGCAGTTCCGGCGTAGAAGGCCACCGAAATTCCAGCTAAAGCCTGCTGCTCTGGCGCCTGCAACAGCTCCTGTCAGCCACCAAAGCGCAGCGGAAGGGCAACTTCACTGGCGATGGTTGGTTCCTGGAAGGACTTCTCTTCCTCGGCTTTGCCGGGTGCAGTCCGGAGCTCCGGGAGGAGCGCGTAGCCGCCCGCACAGGCGGCGGCTCCTGTTTGGGGGCGAGCGGCAGAGAGCGGCCCACAGCTTCAGCTTCCCCCGGATGCGGCGGTGGGGCCTGCAGCGACGGCAAAGAAGATGGAGCGCAAACCAAATTCCTGAACCAGCCAGCCGCCAACCTTCGAAAAGAGGCAGAAGCTCGGCCAAGCACAGATTCGGTGTTCATGCCAGGAGGCTGCGGGGCCAAGGACGAAGGCCAGAGCAGTCAGGGCGTTCTGCACCTCTTCTGCCAGAATATTCTGAGCTGTATTGATACTCGGAGCCTGGAAGCCTCCCGGAAAAAAGCTCAAGTCCAAGATGCGCCCAAGAAAGATGCTCGAGACTCTGGCTGGCTTTCCTCAGAGAAAGCACTGTGTTCCCAGAGTACAGATCAAATACCGACATGCACATGACCCCATACCTCTCGCCTTTCCTCCAATTTGCTCCAGCTTGTGCCACATGCTGCATGCTACTGCATCATCTGCGCTGCGAAACGGGGCTCTGTGGCATCGGCCACCCAAGCCGAAGCGCCGGCATCGGAGCTGGAAAGCCCGGCGCCCAGCAAAAGCCGTGCCATGATCAGAAAAGGCAAAGACGAGGCCTCGAAACACGATCGCATACACAAAGTGCTGTGCGTGATTTGTGCTGACATGCGGCCAGACCGGTGCCGACGTCTGCAGCCGCACACAGGATCATACCGCCAACCATCAGAGATCGGCCTTCAATCACCGATTGACTTGACTCTTTTCGGAGCTGTTCGGCACGTCTCAAGCGGAAGCTGGGAGAGCGGCGGCCAAGAGTATCAGCGAGCTTGCCGAAGGGGAGGTTCAACAGAAGCTTTGCAAGGGAGGGTGACGACACGAGCAACCTCGGCCGAGAAAACGGAGCAGAGAGGGCCCCTACTGTAGAGTCCCTATAGAGCCTCGTTCTCTCTTAGAGGCTTCATTGGCTTCATATCCTTGCTCCTTCCAAGCGGCCCCACGGAACTTTGGGAGAGACCGAATTCTTGTCCATACCTCAACTCAGGGCCCAGAACAGGCCGACACCGAGCTGAGCTACCCTGATCGAAGACGGGGCCGGGATGCAGCGGCAGGACGGGGATCAAGGCACCCACCGCCACGAAGACCGGAAACTGCGAGACCAAGAGCACCCTCAGCTCGCCTTCTCGAGTTACCTCAGCCCCGGGAAAGCAGCACGCGGGTGGGGGGGGGCCCTGCAGTGACGCCGCAGCTTTTTTTTTCGCCAAGCGGCCTCTTTGACCCGAGGACCAGGGCAATGACGCGGAGAAGCGGGACGAAGACGGCCTCCTTCAAAGCCAGGGATTGGGGGACGGTCTTCTCCAATAGGACTTCCCAAAATGCCGCTTCCCACGGCCTGCGACCCGTGCATTGGTGCCAATGAATGCCGTGCGCCGGCATTGAGGATCTGCCCTGCTTCGCCATTTGCTTGCCCAAACCAGAATCAGCACAAGCGCCACCTGAAGGACAAGGACGAAGACATGACATCTGCAGCCATGCAGGACAGCAACACAAGGAAAAGAGTGCAAGTGCCTGATGTAGCCGCCTCTGACGAGACTTCAAGGCATGGGGAATGCCACGCATAGCACCTCCTTAGCCTGCTACATCCTTGAAGGAGCTTACAAGTTCGACTTGCGCTGGCTTGTTAAAACCATGTTGTGCTGACCTCATCAACCGACTTGTTGACATGGCTTCGGGATGGAAAGCAGTCGTTTCGAAAGCATCTTCGCATGGAGCAGAGAAAAAGTCTCCAAGTAATCCCGCTTTTCCCACTTGTCGCGACGGCATGGCACTCCATGGCACTCCTCACCAAGCTATGCTTAAAGGCAAGGTTTCAAATGGTGAAACTCGACTTGCCTCAGCATCGGTCCCGGGAAATAATGAGAATGTGAATGTGACCAGCTCAAACAGGCGAGGGCGTCCCATCCGCGAGTCCATAGCATGCGCTGCTTTCCATACAGTCACTCCCTGTTCTTGCCACGATCCTACCATCAGCCTTCGGCGTACCCGTTGCATGAGAATGTTGCACTGCACGGATCAAGGCCCGTGGCAACCACGCACCCTGCTTGCGAGGACGCGTTGCGGGCTGCGCCCTGCCCGGAGCTGAGCAACTCAAAACCTTCTTTGCACAAATCTGCCAAGAGGCACACAGCGGTGAAACTGCACGGCAAGCTCCGAGTAGGAGGGGATGAACAGATGCTAGGAGCTGCTAGGAGATCAGCGTTGAAGATTCCTTCCGTCTCCCAGAAGAGCGTGCGTCGGGAAAATGGTGCGGAAGTCGCTACAAAAAAACTTCTGCCAGGCTGGTGGTCTCCGTTCGGCCTCGGTCGGTGCAGCTACGACTCTCCGGGTCAATGCAAGAAGGTGAGTCGCTAAGCCTCTGGCACATGGGGCAACGATCCAGGCGCTCTGCGCAGTCCTTCGGCGACGGGCAAGTATGGCCAAGTTCCCTTCAGGTCCGCCCGCGGCTTTTCGGTGCCGCCTTGCAGCAGCACACGTGCCGGCACGGCATCAAGAGGATCGTCCGAGGCGCCTCCGAAAAGAGGGGCACCCAAACAAAAAGAGAGCAGAGGAGTCCAAGGGCGCCTCGAGGCAGACGACGCAAGCGAGCGCCTCGGGCCTCGGAAGTGTGCCCGGAGCCCGGAGCCCGGCAGGCTCCTGCGGTTTTTGCCAGAGCTCGCCGCTTCTTCTTCGTGGAAACCGAAGCGTCGCCTCCCCCGCCATTTCTCATCCACTCCGTCTCTTGCGTGTCTTTTCTTCGCCAAGTGGCTTGACGGTCGAAGCAAGAGTAACCAGGCAGCAGCCGTCGCGAGGGAACAGACCTCCGCTGAGGCGCACAACGTCTGTGTTTTGTCGCGCTGTGCAAATCGCGCTGCAAACCACGCTGATAGGCCCGGAGCCAAAGGAAGCCAAGTCGGCACCTTCGCTTTGATTGGCGGCCTCGGCTCTCAGAAGAAAACAAAAACTGCCGGCGGCCCCTCTGAGCAGCTCGGGATCCTGCAGATCGCCGCTCCCAAGCTCCGGAGCTGCGGGGGATGAAAAAAAGTGTTGACCAAAAGGAAACGAAAAGGGGCTAAAACGCTTTCGCACAGCGTGGCCTGAGGCCGGGCCGGTCGTGGCGCTTTCCGCCGCGCCCCCGGCGCCCCCGGCGCCCCCGGCGCCCCGCGCCCGCGGCTCCATGCGCCATTGCAAGGCGGTGGGCACCACGGAGAGGAGCGACCTCGAGAGGAGAAGATCTCAAAGCAGCGGTCTCATCCGCCGTCCCGAGCACCGGGCCCCGTGGCCCGGGCCAGGCATTCCCTGCCTCCAACCTCTCAGAAGCAGTGCTTTCCGGCTACCTCGCAGCTTTGTGCCGCCTGCCTCTGGGCCCAACCACCACTCGGACTCTTGCGCACGGAAATAGAGGTAGACCTCTGCCAGCACCCGTCACATGAAAAACGATCCGACGGCGACCCACCTTCATTACACCGCCCGAGCCCGAGCCCGAGCCCGAGCCGTCCTCTGACCTGTTGCCCTCCTCTGTATGCCACATTATCAGACATGGACAGCTGGATAGTCCACATGCACCCTTGGCCCATGCTCCTCGAGACCTGTCGCGACATACACTGGACGGGCATCACAAAGGCGTGACTCCTGCACCTGAGCCATGAAGGGAACGACCTCTCGCGAAAACTTCCGCTCCAAGTGCGTGGCAAATTCTGTCCCACCGATGTTGACACTGCTGGGAATTGCCTTGTGCAAAGCATTGGCCTGATCCCAAGACTCTGACAAGCACGGATGAGGCAAGGGCAGTTGCCGCATCAACCACACGGACCTCCTGCATGCACCAAGCAAACACTGAAAACACGGGCCAAAGTACGACGACCCGATGCCGGAGCTCCTCGACAAGGCCAGCAAAAGAAAACCATGTCGCGTCAACATTCCAAGCTGACTCCGCAGTGGCATAGACCTTGGCTGGGAAAGTCGAAGACGAATCGCTCTGAACTTTTGGAAAGTAGAGGGCGTCTGACCCAAACCCTTCCATCTTCGATGGACGGTCCGATGCGCCAATCGCCGGCTGCATACCAGAGCCTTGCAGGATGCTACGTAGGCCGCTGGGGGTGCAATCGGAGCTAGGGCTGTGGCGATGCTGTGCGGATGGCATCTGTCTTGTGATACCTCAAAAAGCGCAGCAGCCTCCGAGCCCTCCGGGCGGATGGCCTCTGGCCGAGCTTGCGGCAGGGGCTTCAAGTTCCAAGTCTCCGAGGCGAGCCTGTACCTATGGCGGGCGCTACCAGAAAGCGCTCCCACACAGACGGAGGGCTTCTTCTGTCTCCGCGCACACGCCGTTGGCGGATCCGTTGCCGGAAGAGACGCCTTCGATGACCAGGTGCCTCGAGGCCCAAGTGCCTAAGAAAGACTCGAAAACTTCTGCCCGGCCTCGGCTGATTCTGATGCCTCTGTGGCCCGAAATCCATCGCAGCCAGCCTGTCACTGTCGCCATTCGGGCAGCCCGCCAGGGCTCAGACGCTCAGACCCTCCTGTCCTCACAGCAGCTGCAGGGAGCTCGTCGGCACCTGCCCACAGTTTCGGGGCCTCGAGTCTCGAGGTCTAAACACGCTGCCCCACGCTGCCTCCGGGCCCAACGCTCGGGACTCTCCAACTCTCCACCTCAAAGCCAGAAAGCACCGCTGTGAGGGACTCGTGGCTCTGAGGCTGCGGCGATCTCCTGTGGCAATGCGGCAGCGCCTCAAGCAAAGCGCCAAAGATCTAAAAAAGTGTCCAGTGGCACCGCGGCGCTGAGCTCCCCACTGCGTGAGAAGAGCAGGGGCCTGGTGACGGCAAAAGGCCATAAAGGCCTTCCTTCTTCCCCCGCTCTTCTCGCAAGGCCTCGCCTTGGCGGCTTCTCTCCGAGAGGCAGCGGTCCTAGCCGCCATCCCTCGGCCAGCGAGCACAGCAGGAAGAGCTCCTTTTCAGAGGGGCACAGCTGGAAAGGCTGAACAAGGGTCTTGGACTTAGCACTTAGAGAACCTGCTGCATGTGCTTGTAGTAGGGTCTGCCGTCCCACCTCGAAGCTCAGTAGCTGAGGAATTGCCTCCGGCTCCATCCTGATCTGAGCCGTTGGCAGGCCGGGCTGCTGCATCAGCATCCCCTGCAGTAAGCCGAGCTCCTGAGGAAAAAAAGAGGCAAGGCCGCAAGGCTAAGGCAAGGCTAAAAGCACTGCGACCTGCGACGCAAACCGTGAGGCGACCGGGGCCCAGGCCAGCGGGCTGCCCTCCCCAAAGGACAGGAGAAGGACCTCTCTCTGCGTGGCATGGAGGGTCCGGGCATGGACATGCTGTGAAACTCCACATAGGCACCGGAAAGGGGGCCTGTGGGACCAAGGACGTGTCGCTAACTCGGAGCCGCGGATCTTGAACGACACGCTGGCCATCCCACACCTAGAGGCCGCCACACTTCGCCACACTGCTATGCTTCTAGGCACCTCAAAAAACGTCTGTCCTGCCAAGGTTGGTCAATGAGCAAAGGTGACGAGGCAAGGCTGCGAGCAAAAGCCCAAACCTCCAAAAACGCAAAGGCCAAGGCCCAAGGAGCGCGGCGAGACGGCATGTCGAGGGCCAGGCACTGCCATCTTCCGGTGAAGGCCCTACGCGCCACTCTCCTCTTGCAACAGCGCGAAAGCGCTTCGCACGCTTGCGCAGGTCGAAAGTGCTGCCCAGGCACCCTCGAAGTACAGGAACACCTGACCACCGCTGCCAGCATGACCAGCACGTCTCCAACACAGGCCTGTTCAACCAAGGTCCTTTTGAGCGCTCGTCGGGCGGAATAGGGCGAAGTAAGTCCGCAGCTGTGACGCCACGCGTAGTCTCTTATGTACACACCTGTTCAGGGATCACACAAGCTACTGCATTGTTTGGCTTTCGTCAGTGCTGGCCATTGATGTTGCTGTTTCGGCCCTGACCTCAGCTGCCACATCGTTGTCATCGTATCGTCATCACCACAACGACATGAGATTCAAGAACTGAAGCATCCTTCAAGACTGAGGGCACGGCGCCCGTGGACCACCACCGAAGAAGGCAAAGCATTGGCCTCTTGTACGCGAGTGAAAAACAGAAAGCCCAAAGCCCAGTGCTTTGAGCCCCAGGCCAGCGCAAGGAGCCACACAAACCTTCGAAGACACAAAGGAGAAATAACGGACCAAGGAGTTGTTCTTTCCACCTTTGCCTCACCAGAAAAAGGGCCACTGCCATGGGTCACTTCCTGGCACCTTCAAGCTCGCTCAAACGCAAAGACGTGTCAAACTCCCTGAAATCTCACGTGCCTTTCCCGGAAACATCGCAGGGATGCTGCATCTGCCCCCACGAGCAAAGCTGGCTTGTCCAGCTTTGAGCTGTAAGATTCTCAAGCGTTCAAGACTGGAGGCCGTCTAGCAGACCCAGCCTGATCATCGACATCTCATGACTACTACGTTTTGCCGCGAATGTCACGAAACCTCGCTTCGTCCGCTTCGCATAAAACATGTTCAGAAACCCTTGACACAGATGAGTCCGCATGAGGCGCCTGCATTACCGGCAGGCTCTTTGTTTATGTTTCCCTTTCAGTCT